GACCCCAATCCTCCTTGTGAGCCTTCCTCCAGCCCTACTCTTGGCTACAGAAGAGCCCAGAGAGGGGAGGCAGGAAGAGAAGATTTCTTTAGAAAGAACCAGGCTTGAGTCCAGCTCCCTTTGCAGAGACCACTCTGAGGAATTTATACATAGCTTGTAGAGTTTAGGGAAGCTTGCAGACTGCTATGCAGCTCCAATCTAAAAGAAAGCCCACAGCTACACGGCGGCCCGAGCTTCCCTTGGGCAAGCACAACTGCCCCTCCAGCGTCTGGCATAGCAAGCAGGTCTGATCTCCTTGCAGGCCCAGAGAAGACTTTGATGGGTAACCAGGCCGAAGCATCTGGAAGGTACACTAAGAGGGGGACTTGCCAGAGCGAGGCGTCCCATCCCGCCAGCACAAAGGCCAGACTGGGATGCCCACAAGAGACCACTCACAGAATATATTCTGAGTGCACCTGCGGTGGTCCGGGCTATTGGCTTTTATTGTAAGAGCAACAAAAGTGACAGCAGAGTTTTAAATTGTGTATATGGAGGAGGGAGGAATGATAGTAACCTGATCAGATCTCCATCTCAAGAACATTCTGAAGGGAGCATGGAGAATGGAGGGGACCAGAATAGAAGTGTGAAGACTGGCTCAGAAGGCGGTCAGAGGAGTAAGAGAAGCAGGGAGCATGGACTTGGGAGGGGGGTGGTGCAGCAGAGGTAGTAAGAAGGAGATGGATTCGGGGACATGCGAGAAGCAGCAGTGATCAGACAAGGTTGGGGCAGACAAGAAGGAGGAGTCAGGATGACCCCCAGCTCCCCACCTGCCCCAGGTTGCTGCCTGCTGGAGCCCCTTACTCGAAGAACACTGGGAAGGGGCCAGGTCATAGGGAAGAGGCCATGTGTCTGTGCCTTGGTCACTGGGAATTTGGGGTGCCTTTAAGACATACAAAGATGTCATGTGGGTGACCAGAAGCTTTGGACACAGGTGCGATGGCTTAGGAATAAGAGTGAGGGATGAAGATGACCGAGCCAGCCTCGAAGGACCCAACATGAAGGCCAGGGCAGGAGAAGGCACTTGGCCAGGGAAGGAGCTAGCAAAGGAACGCCCAGAGATGCAGGCAGAGAGGCCACGTGCCCCTTAAGTCCTCAGGGCTGGCTACCTAATAGGAATAAAGAGACCTGCGCCTGGCCCACAGGGAGTTTTCAGTCCACAAAATGACTGAACCACAAATTGGAGGAAGTGTTATAAAGGGAAAGGCAGGGAATAAGGGCGATGGGGGGTGGGGGTGGTGGGTAGTCAGGGAAGGGTTGTCAGAGGAGGCAACATTTCTGCAGACTGGCAACTCTGCACTGGGATGCTAATGAGAGGCAGCTGTTCCAAGGCCACAGGGTCCAAGACAATCTCTTAACTCTTGGATCAAAGATGCCAGTGCAGGGTGAACAGAGAAGTGCTCGGAGAGCCGTGCTCCCTGGTGCCCACTGTCTGCTTCCCCACCGGAGCCGATCTTCCCTCCCCAGCCACTTACCCGGAGGAGCTGAGGACCCCTGGGGCCTCACTGACTAAGTGTCTTTGGCCAGTGAATGTCTCCCACAAGAAAGGGAGAGGACTGGGCCCCAAATCCCTGGCTGGCAGCGAATGGGTGGAGGAGAAGGTACCGCAAGCCCTGGTCTGATCAGGTATCAGGGCTCTGGGCCACAGCCTGAGGACAGGTCCAGCCCGCCTGCACTCACTCACCCCCAAGGGTGTCAAGCCCTTGTTCAAAGTGAAGGGGCCCAGAAGGTGTCAGGTACCACTCAAGCTGCCAGCTGCCAAGCTGTCTGCAAAGAAATGCTAACTGGGATGGTCATGGTGATTCCTGTGGTCAGGGCACCAGGGAGTCAGGTGGTCCTGGAGCTACCCTGTCCAGGCTGCCTGAAATACACCCCGGACTAAAAGTAAGCTTTTCCACCCCAGGTCCCCATCAGACGGCTTTATTGGATGCCTTTAATTTCATCCTTTTCAGCGTCAGCAGCATGGTTATGACTCACGTGTAACCCCATTTAACAAGGCAAATGGGAAGCACTGTGTGAAGGCGGCAGCCTCAAACGCTGGGAGAAAGCACCAAGTCACGGCCAAGAAAGCACTTAGGCTCTGGACTCAGATCCAGATTCAAAGTCCAGCTGTGCCATCTCCGGGGGCCACCCCTACTGATCCAGTGTGCCCTCGGGCAAATCACACAAGGTCCACCTTCCTTCTTGTCTTCCAGAACGGCATACTAGAACTTACTTGCCGGGGATGCTCTGAGAATTCAGTGACATCGTGCCTGCAAAGCACTCGAAGTTAATAGTCACAATCGTGACACTAGAACTGACTGATCATTTCCAGTACCCCACGCACAAAGTGGCTGACACAACAAATGAATGAATGATCTAGGACGCAGAACTCAAGGCCTTTCCGGCCCCACCTCTCCACACCCCTACCTACGCCCTCACTAGCTCCCCAGGCCAGACTTGAGTCCTTGACTCCAGCCACACTGGCCTCTGCTCCTTCTTCGCAGACCCTGCCTTCCCTCCTGCCTCCCACCCACACGCTCCAACTGGGTCGGTTCCCTCCCATCACCTCTGTCTACCCAACCCCACTCACCTCTCAGGTGCAAATCAAATATCCCGGGCTCTTTGAAGCTCCCCTGCTGCCCGCAGGCCCTCAGCTGCGCACTCCTCTGCCCTCTCGCACGCTTCCTCCGTGCCTGGATGAGAGCAGTAAGCACAAGTGCCAAGCACTGTGCTGAAGTACCTTCACTTTTTAAACTCATCAAATCACCACAGGAACCCCATAAGGCAGGTTTTGTATTTAACTCTGCTGATACACAATGTGAGTCACAGAGAAGACAAGTAACTTGCCCGATGCCACAGAGCCCACAAGCAGCAGAGCCAGAGCACAAACCCTGACCTTCTGACTGCAGAGCTGGTGCCATAGACACCACATTGCACCCCTTCTCCCAGATGCAGGGTGTCCAAGCCCAGTTCCTCCGTGTCAGGTGGGGAGAGGCAGGGGGACTGTGTTTCATTCACTTTTGTGTCCACCTGGCCCCCCGCACTGTACCTGGCATACAGCACATGCAACCTCCTTCCCCCAAGACACTAAATAGATTATTAAAGGAAAACCACTAATCCAGGAAAATTCACCCATGGGTCCTGGTCTCCTTTTTCTGCCCCTGATTTCTGATTGGGAAATTCTGCTCTGAGTCCTGTCCAAGGGGCCAAGTACAGTCTCTTTGAAGCTGATGTATAATAAAGAACTTCTAAATCATCCAGTTTTTTGTTTTTTTTTTTTAAAGCCAGTTTTCTCCCCCGCCTTGGAGAAGTCTGGAGCCTAATTCTAAACAGAGACATAGCATTTGTTGTGACACCTTTTCCCGCTGAGAGGAAGGGGTCCTGTTTTTGAAGAAAAGAGTAACAGCAGAATTCAAAAGGCAATGGGGTTTACAGGAGGGTCCCTCCTTGGACAGGCAGCTCCAGGAGGCAACTGTGGAAGGAGAGGAAGTCAGCCAGAGGGAGCTGTGTGAGGACGAGCTGGCTGCAGAGCAGCCCTGGCGAGGAGCAGAGCCCCTGGCTCACACCTCTCAGCCTGAAAGGAGCTGGTGATCCAAGCAATCCTGAGCCACGGAGGGTACTGGAAAAGTCTTTGGAGTTAGCAGGACAGAAATGTTGCCTGGCTGGCACTTGCCACTTCCTTTGCCCCCCTGTTTAGCACCTAATTCGGTTATTTCCGGGATTCTTTCCTTTCCTATCAGACGTGGATCAGGTCTGGGGCCAACTGGTCCTTGACCCAAGTCCTCCCTGTTCCTCACCACCCCCTGCTCCCCGCCCCCCAACACACACACTTAGAAACAAAAGGTATGGCTTTGCCGAGATTCGAATCTCGGCATTCCTTTCAAAACCCCAAATCTGGTTCAGCTCAACATGCGCAAGAGGAGGCCTTTGAAGGTGCTATGGCTAATTTTCTAATAAAGCAGAACTATCCGGCAGATCGGAAGCCAAAAAAAGAACAGACATCTTTCAAATTCAGGTCCTAAATCAGCTCTGCCGAAAGTGGATTTTTGAGCCCAAGGCTCAAACTCACGCAGAAGCCTCAGATTTGAAAAATGTTTGCAGCGAGAATGGGGAGGGGACCTGGGAGGTGGTAAGGAAATGTCGGGCAGGGGGGACCGTGGGGGAGGCTGGGGCTCCCAGTCTGCAGTGACCCCTGGCCCTGTTGGGAAGTGGATACTGAGCACATCTTCACACTAAAACTCAGGCTGGAATTTGAGGGTGTCCAGCATCAGGTGCCACCCTTTGAGTGGTTCATCACCTCGCCGAAGAGGGGGAGCCAAAAATAAGCAAATGTCTATAGACAAAGGACTTGGCACATGGTAGGGCCCTCTCCGAGTCACTGCCTGTCTTCTCCTCGGGCTGTTGGAGAGGAAGCGATGTGACCACTCTCGGTGTCCGCGGGCAGAGGAGTGCCCTGACCCTGGAGTGCGAAGAATCACTGGCAGCCTGAGTGGCCAGCAGGTGCGAGACGGCCAGGGGTGTGGTGGCCATGGTGAGCGGGCACTGGCTGGTGGACGAGGGGGCCGGGGGGGGGGCAGCATGCTCACTCAGCGGCGCCCAACGCCAGGCCAGGGGGTCCAGCTTCACCCAGGTTCCAGGTGCGGATGCGTGTATTTGTTTGCTTTATGCTTCCACGGGGATGTAGGACATATTTTCAACATCTGAATTTGAATGTCTGGGTTGGCAGTCACTCTTGATTTTGCATTCAGCTCCAGGCCCAATTTCTCCTGTTGATCACCTCATTCGTACATTGATGTTAGCTGCCCAGGGCCCCGTTAGGAATTGAGTTGGTGGTTATGGGTAGGTCACAGGAAAACCGAACACTGTCAGAATGATGGAGATGCCGTGCCAGAACTCACATTTAAGGTATGCTTGGCATATCAAATCCAGATGCCTGATGAGGTTGGACTTTCAGGTAAAAAACAAATACGTACATACATATATATATTTAAGATTTATGTATTTATTCATGAGAGACACACAGAGAGAGGCAGAGACACAGGCAGAGGGAGAAGCAGCTCCCTGCGGGGAGCCTGACGGGGGACTCGATCCCGGGACCCCAGGATCATGCCCTGAGCTGAAGGCAGACCCTCAACCACTGAGCCACCCAGGGACGCCCCTCTGCCCTTTTCTACTCCTGGGACTTGGGACAGACCATGTGGCTTTTCCATCCAGAGGTAAAGTTTAATTTTGCCTTTTGATGTCCTTTTTATTTTAATTGCTTTTTTCTTTCTTCATGTCAATTTTAGGATTCAAAATAATTTCTTTCTGAGTTACAAAAGATGGAGGATGGAAGCGAAAGATGCTCTCCTTGCTTGCATTTCTTCAAATCACCTTGCTTTGCTTTGGGGGGGGAGGAGCTCAGCCTTCCTCACACACCCCGAGATCCGGGCTCCCTCCAGGATGAGGCATGTTTCCTGGGCCTCTGTTGCCATCTGCAGGATCATTTGGGGGTGAGTTCAGTGACCCTGCGTGGGCCCTGGAAAAAGAAGGTAGCAGCGGTGTGAAGTCCTTGGGCTTCCCCAGCTGTCAGAGACCTCATGAGGCACAACCTAACCTCATCATCTCTCTGGAGCTCAGTCTCTAGGATTTAATGAGCTGGATGACTCTGGGCAAGTCACCTTTTTCAGCCTATTTCCTCATCTCTAAAACAGTATTTGACACCTATAAAATTGCTTTGATAGTGATTACTGATGGGCCATTCATCCATTTATCTAGCCATGAAGCAAAGAACATGGAGTAAAAAAAAAAAGAAAAAAAAAAAGCTTTCCCAGAGGAAATCTTCATCTTACACTGGCATCAATCAAACCCACAGGAAACTGTCCATTTACTGTGACACTTACAACAACAGAGGCATGAACAAAGTGTCATGTCAATTAGGGAGCAACTAACTCTGTTTGGTGGGAACAGGAAAGGCCCACAGTGGAAGGGACATAGGAGTTGGGTTTGGAAAAACACATAGGAGTCTACCAGAATTTGGAAGAACATATAGGAGTTGTTCACAATATAGAGAACAAGAGAAAGGCCATTCCATAGAGAGGGAGTAAAGAACCAAACTACTTTGACCTCACTTGTTCTAGGAAGTTCCCAGGGAGTGACTGAACTTTCAGATCCTGCAGCCGGCTTAGTAGGAGAGAACTGAAAGGAGGGAGACTTTTGCTATGTTCAAAGAAAGGAGGTAGCTGCTCACTTTGCCTATGGTTGGGCCCAGCCCTGGGGGGAGCCTAGCATGAGGAGGAGGAAGAGGAGTCGCAAGGTTGGGAACAGAACATTCAGGGCAGGATCCGGAGGTGGTCTGATCCACAGAGTGTGACCTTGGCTAAGTTAGCCTTCCTTTCTGTGCTCAGAGTGTTGTTGCAAGATAGAAGCAAAAGTGTTAACACGGTGCCCAACACAGACGTGCTCCAATATCTTAGCGGCTGGTATTACTATGAGATGTTGGCCTCAGGAAGTTCTTTTACCTCACCCAGTGTACTTTCCTCATGTAGGTGAGAATAACAGTGTTTGCCCTCATGCATCGTGAATTAATTGTGAGAATACCACAAAGTCATACAGGCAAAAAAAAAAAAAAAAAGCCTCATGCCGCCTCTCTGTATCCTGACAGCTCCACATTTCTTTTTTTTTAGATTTTATTTATTCATTCATGAGAGACACACACACAGAGAGAGGCAGAGACACAGGCAGAGGGAGAAGCAGACTCCACACGGGGAGCCCGAGGTGGGACTCGATCCCGGGTCTCCAGGACCATGCCTGGGCCGAAGGCAGCGCTAAACCTCTGAGCCACTCGCAGCCCCGCATTTCTATCTCCATCCCAGCCCTCCCTAGACAACCTCACCAGGTCTTGTGTGAGACACCTCAGACTTAGTACATCCCAACTCAGCTTTTCTGTGCCTTTGCCACAGTCTTCCGGTCTCGGCCAACGGCAGCTCTGTCCTTCCAGCTGCTTGGAGCCACCATCCATCTCTATCTATAACACCCCACAAGCAGGCAGAAATCTTTTTTTATTCTAGTTTGAAATGCATACCCGCTGCGTGACCACTCCTCTCCACCTCCAGCCCTCTCCACTGGCCTGAAGCGACACCCTTATCTAGATCACTACTGTGGCCCCCGTAGTCATTTGGCTCAATGACCTCCTGTCTGTTCTCACCACAGCAACCCGTGTGATCCTTGTGAAAAGCTAATGTCCATCCCTGCTTCAAACCCACGAATGGCTCCCGATTCCTTCCACATGAGACCAAAGTCATTAAAATGGCTGCTAAGGGGCACTGGGTGGCTCACTGGTTGAGTGTCTGCCTTTGTGATCCCCGGATCGAGTCCCACGTCGGGCCCCCCGCAGGGAGCCTGCTTCTCCCTCGGCCTGTGTCTGTGCCTCTCTCATGAATAAAGAAACAAAATCTTTTTAAAGAATGGCTGCCAAGCCCTGTATAATTGGCCCCCTTCTAGCAGGTGGGATTTCATTTTCATACGTATAACCTATTGTCTGACCACACACTCAGCAAGTGATCATTTACTGGCACCCGGTGAGCGCTCTGTAAATATGCGGTGAACGGATGAGATGACCATGCAAGCGTTGAATCGCAGAGTGCTAAGTGCTAGAAAGAAGATGTACTATAATCCGAGGAATTCATAGGGAGAGAGCCAGAGTCGCCGCTGGATTGCATAGCTCCAGACCCAGAGCCTCCCGGGCCAAGGCAGCGCGCGGGGGCGTGCCTGGCACGGAGCGGGCGCTTTCGAAGGCTGCCTGGATTGGAATCAGGTGATTGCTGGAAACAGGGAAGGTCTTCCCTCAGCCCGTCCCAGGTGGGCAGCTGGGGACACACCGGCCTTCCCTGGCCGACTTCCTTGCTGTGCGGAGACTTTGTGGCTCCTTGAGATGTAAACAGCTCTCAAGGGGAGGAGTGACAGGGCAGCTCCGCTGCAGGCCAGAGGCGCTCGGCCCCTCCCCAGCTCCCCAGCTTCGGGCAGGTGAGGGCCTCCGGGAGCGGAGCGCAGGCCGGGAGAGAACTTGGAACAAGGTTGCCCTCTGCCGGCGGGCCTGCGAAACGGGCGCTCGCGGAGGAGGGCGGGGACCCGCGCCACAGCAGCAGCGCCCCCCGCAGCAGCAGCGCCCCCCGCAGCAGCGCCCCCGCAGCAGCGACCCCCAGCAGCAGCGCCCCCCCAGCAGCGCCCCCGCAGCAGCAGCAGCGTCCCCCCGGCAGCAGCGCCCCCCCAGCAGAAGCAGCGCCCCCCCAGCAGCAGCAGCGCCCCCCAGCAGCAGCGCCCCCCCAGCAGCAGCAGCGCCCCCCCAGCAGCAGCGCCCCCCGCAGCAGCGCCCCCCTAGCAGCAGCGCCCCTCCCCGCAGCAGCGTCCCCCCGGCAGCAGCGCCCCCCCAGCAGAAGCAGCGCCCCCCCAGCAGCGCCCCCCCCAGCAGCGCCCCCCCGCAGCGCCCCCAGCAGCGCCCCCCCCAGCGCCCCCCCCAGCAGCGCCCCCCGCCCGCCCCCCCAGCAGCGCCCCCCCGCAGCAGCGCCCCCCGCAGCGCCCCCCCAGCAGCAGCGCCCCCCCCAGCAGCAGCGCCCCCCCCAGCAGCGCCCCCCCGCAGCAGCGCCCCCCTAGCAGCAGCGCCCCCCCGCAGCAGCGCCCCCCTCCGCAGCAGCAGCGCCCCCCGCAGCAGCGCCCCCCCGCAGCAGCGCCCCCCAGCAGCGCCCCCCCAGCAGCGCCCCCCGCAGCAGCGCCCCCCCCCGCAGCAGCGCCCCCCCAGCAGCGCCCCCCCGCAGCAGCGCCCCCCTAGCAGCAGCGCCCCCCCAGCAGCGCCCCCCCGCAGCAGCGCCCCCCCCCGCAGCAGCGCCCCCCGCCCGCCCTAACTTCTCCGACTGCGGCGCAGCACAAGTACCGGGACAGAGGGGCAGGGAGGGCGGGCCCCGCGGGTCCCACCGAGTCGGGTAACAGGCGGCCCGGCCGGTGCGACCGTACCTGGAGGCACCGAACTCCCTGCTTAGAGTTCGCCGACTTCCAGCGACGCGGCCGCTCGGGCCTCGCCGGGGGCCGGGCTCCGGGGGGCGGACGCCGGCCACGGGCGGATCCCAGGTGGGGCCTGGGCAGCCTTTCTCGGCGTCAGCGTCAGCGACCGTCGGGTCACCCGGCCAGGGGGAGGCCGCGTCGGAGCAGCGGGGGAGGCGGAGGGGCGAGCCGGGTGCCGGCCCCGGAGCCGGGCGCTGGCGCCCCTGCTGCTGCGGGACCAGCCCCCTCGGGTCTTGGGCGAGCACAGGGAGGCGCGCGGGACCAGGCGGAACTGGGCGGTGAGACGGCCGGTTCCGGGGTCAAGGCCTCTGGACGCACAGCCCCCCCCCCCCCCGGGGCCGGGGCCGGGGCCGGGCCGGGCCGGGAAGACCCGCGTGCGGAGGGGACGGAGGCCCCGCCCGCCGGGGGCCCAGGCCGTCGGCCCGTCGCAGCCCGTGGGCTCGGCTCAGCCTCCCGCGGCGGCGAGGGGAGCCGGCGGGGGCGGGGGCGGGGGCGGGGCCCGGGACGCTGGCGGGGGGCGGAGCGGACCCGGCGGCCGAGGCCCGAGCGCCCCGCCCCCTGTCGGCCGAGCGGGACCCGGGGCGGTCGGTGGGGGGCGCGCACCGCTGTCCCCTTGCGGCCGCCGGGCTGCCCGCCGTGGGCCGCTGGGGCTGCGGCGCGGGCGCGGGCGCGGGCGCGGGGACGGCCTCAGCCCCGGGTGGGCCCCGAGACACGGGCTGGGCCGCCCGGGAGGACCCGCCGGCGCCCGCGGACGGACACGGCGCTCGCCCGGCCGCGCCCCGGGATTCGCACCTGCGGGGCCGCCGCTGGCGGTGGCGGGTCGGGCGGGAGGGGCAGACCCGGGGCAGCCCAGGACGCGGATCCCGCCCGCCGGGAAAATAAGCGGCCTCGGGCTTTGTCCGGCGCTCGCGGTTCTGCTCGGAGCCACTGTCGGAGACGCCGCGGGCCGGGAGGGAGGACCCGCGCCCCCGCCCCCGCGCCCCCGCCCCCGCCCCCGCGCCCCGCGCCCCCGCGCCCCGCGCCCCCGCCCTGCCGCGCCCGGATCGGCCCGCTGTAGCCGCCCGCGCCCCGGCCCCGCGCCCCGGCCCCTCCGTCCTAACGCGCCCCCGCTGGGAGGAGCCCCCGGGAGCCTGCGGACCGGCCTTTCCTGCGCTGAGTGGCCCGCAGCGGCCCCTCCCGCCCCCGCCGGCCGCCGGCGAGCTCCTCCTCAGCATCCCGCCCCGCCGCGGGGTCGGAGAAATTCTGGCACAGAGGCGCGCACGTACCCGTCGCGAACCCACGCACACGTAAATTCAGACATCTGTGAATTTATCCTCGTACGTCCTTTCCTTTCCACCACCCAGGGTTGAGAACTGTTGCGTCTCCTCTCCACCCAGAGCCTCCAGGGCCGTGGCTGGCGTTTGCTCCCCACCATTTCTTCCACACGCCCCCATCAATGCACCCTCCTACTCCCTCCTTCCACCAACTCCCTCTTTTAGCTGCCCCACCTCCTCGGCAGCTTGGTAGCACTTAGGGTCGCAGTGTCGCTGTTTTGGGGGTCCCGTCTCAGGGGCCCGCTGCGTCCTCCGGGGCCGGCTGCTTGGGTGTGCCTCCAGGATGGTCCCCTCCCTTCAGGCTCCGGTTTGCCAGCCACCCCTCAGCGGCTCCTACACTGCCAAGACCCGGGAGGACCTGGCCCCTCCCATCCGCTCTGCAAAAGGGCAGAGCCTCAGGGGTGCTGTGAGTAACGGTTACCCCCTCCACCTTGGGGAACTGTTGGCAGCATCCACAGGCATTCATGTAAGCTAGAGCCAGTCCCAGACCAAGGATGAGTGCCAAAGCACAGGACAGTGGATGCCGGCTGTGGGGTCGCGAAGGAGCCACAGACCAGAAGCATAGACTGGGTGACTCCTTGGAAGAATATTCACATAGGGGAGTTATTTTGCGGGAGGCAAGAATGAGGTGCTTGAACTCACAGCTCCATACATTACCAAAGTCCCTTCCTACCCCTCCCTTTCTCCACCTGCACTCCTCTGCTTGCATTGGCTCTGGATCACTTCTTGCCAAATGACTCAGTGTAGTGGGAAGTTTCGCTTACTTGAGAGAGGCCTGTATCTGTATACTCTACAGGTAGCAAGAGCCACAAAAAAATAAGTAAATAAAAAACCTCCAAAGACTGGATTAAATAAATAAAATGCTCAGTACTTGGGGACTTGTCCCTCTGAAATTTGCAATCCTCGATGGATGCCGAATATTTGCATCAGCCAAAAGCAAGACCAGCATAATCCATGTGGAGCTCATGGACCTCAGTAATTTTGAGGCAGGAAAATTAAGGGAGAAGTGTGCAGGCCCCAAGCTGGCTTAGAATCCTGGTTCTGACACTCGCTGTGTAATCTTGGGCCAGTTATTCAACGTCTCTGAGCTTCAAATTCCTCAACCTCAAAAAGAGAATGAATAATTATCTCAGCAGGATTGTTGTGAAGAGTAAATGAAATAACATATTTGAAAGTTTTTAGTGTACAGTAAGCACTCAGTGTTCGTTACATTGTTGGAAGGGTAGCTCTGGGAAATGTGTGGTTCATTTATATCATTCCACCCTGTTTGAATGATGACTGTCATAGTGATTGGCTGTTAATACCTTGTCACCTAACAAGCGCCTACCACCAGCATCTGGGAGTAAACAGCTCCTGAATTACTTATTTACAGGAACTTTTCATTGGGTGTGTGGTCACAGCGTGGAATCCTAGGGTAAATAAATTCTGTACCGTTAGTTGATTCAATCTGGGGCCGTGCCTAAACTCAACAGCATTAAAAATGTACCTGCCTGTGCTGAGGACTTCTGGGCAGGTGAGATAAAGGGACTTGCAGTGTTCGTTTTAGTGCCTTGTTTGGGCTTAGAGCACTGGCTTCTCCTTTTGAGGAAGTTAGGGCCTGAATGTTGTAGTGTCCTAACAGCAAAGACTGTCCTGGTCCAGGGCTAGGGTTTGGCTCTCCTGACACATCGGCAGTCCCTCTGCTCCGTGATGCTGCTTCCCATTAGAGTTCAATCTGGATCGATCGCTTGATGCATTGGTTTATTCAGCAACCATCTGTTTACTGGGATGCCAGGACAGGAGGTGGTAAGGATGGGTGGTAATAAAGCCCAGGCGCCTTGCTCAGGACAACCCAAAGGGCTATCCTGGCTTCAGAGCGTCCCAAGGGCCTGTTGAGTCCTTTGCTGTGTCTGCAACAGCCCACCCTTTCCTTTGCTTGACCCTGTGTCCTTACAACCTCTTTCAGGTGATGTCGCTGAGCTCACAGAGTGACCTTCCTTTCTGCCGATCTCATCTCAGAGTCTGATTCCTGGGAGCCCAACCTGCAATGTGGAGCTGCCTGGAAGGTGAACTGGGACAGACCTGGGTTTAAATCCTGGCTCTCTCACTTAAAGTGGCTATGTGACTTTGGGCAAGTTATTTAACCTCTCAAAATGTCATTCTTCATCTGCGGATAAAAGATTATAGTAAAGATTAAATGAGTTCATGCAGACCATGAAGTATCTGGATCACTGAAGCAGCTCAGTTAAAGAAAGCAGTTCTTTCTTTAATACTATTTCTCATACAGGACATGCCAAATCCTACTAGAACTTACATTCCAAGTTTATACCTTTTTCCAGAACTTATGTTTTTATGTTCTTGAAAATAAAACTGCATCTTTGAAAGGGGTGACTCTGTCACTATCAACGTTTTAGAATACTGTCTTAAATTTTTTTTTTATTTATGATAGTCACAGAGAGAGAGAGAGAGAGGCAGAGACACAGGCAGAGGGAGAAGCAGGCTCCATGCACCGGGAGCCTGACGTGGGACTCGATTCCGGGTCTCCAGGATCGCGCCCCGGGCCAAAGGCAGGCGCCAAACCGCTGCGCCACCCAGGGATCCCTAGAATACTGTCTTAAGTGAAGCGCAGCTGTTAAGAAATCAGAGGGAGTGCGCATTTGATTGCCATCATATGAGCAAGCTAACTGTATGATCTAGCGAATCACTGCAAAATGCCCTCCCCCGGAGAATGGGATATTAACAGTATATACTTAGGACAGATGGTATTTTCCTTGAATGCATATAATAATATCTCTCATCCCAGCTGCTCTTCTAATATGACCTTGCCATTCCTCCCTCAACAGATGACCTCCAGTGATTCTTGTGACTGTTGAATGTTGCAGAAACAATGTTCTGGACCTCCGAGGCTAGATTACATGAAACCAGGTCATTTTCTCTGGATTTCTTGTACATCCTTGCTGGAACCCAGCTGCCATGCTGTGAGAAGCCCAAGCACCTGAAGAAGTTGTGGTGTAGGTTTCTGCTTAACAGCCGCAGCCGAGAGCCAGCATCAACTGCCAGCCAAGATAGTAAGCCTTCCTGAATGTCCCACTCCACTGGGCCTTCAGATGCCCGCAAGCCCCAGCTAACAGCTGACTGTCACCGCATCAGGCCCCAAAAGAGATGGCCTCATGAGCCCAATCAAACAGCAAACCATGATAGGTAATTATAAAGTATTGTTTTAAATCATTAAGTTACAGGCTGGTTTGCTCTACAGCAGTAGAAACCCAAACTCTAGGGCTCTTGGAGGAGAGACAATTGAGACATGCGTGAGACAATGCAGAAAAATTGATGCTCGTTGCGCTTGGTCAATAATGAATACACTTGGGGAAAAAGGTAAGCTGACTTATACGGAGAGATAGAAGATGGAGGACACATAAGCTCAATACTAAGCAGGCATCAGGGCACCTGGGTAGCTCAGTGGTTAAGCATCTGTCTCCGGCTCAGGTCTCAATTCCAGGGTCCTGGGATGGAGTCTTGCACTGCTTCTCTCTACGAGGAGCCTGCTTCTCTCTCTGCCTATATCTCTGCCTCTCTCTCTCTCTCTCTCTCTCTCTCTCTCTCTCTCATAAATAAATAAAACCTCAAACAAAAATACTAAGCAGACATTGTCTGATTCAAGATTTAGTGAGCACCTGTCACATGCCAGCCTCTGTATAATCATACAACCTCTGAGTAGAAAGGAATCTCAGAACTCTTCTGGGGAGCCTCCCCAGGGAGGATGCTTCTTCATGAATGTTTGCTTTAATCCAACAGTTACTTATTAACCCCTCCTCTGTGCAATGGTGGTGATGCGAAGCAGAATTATGAAGATGACTAAGACCAAGGCCAGAGCCAAGGGCAAGCATGGGGGCAATGGTAGCCCAGTATCATATCCGTACTTCCCCAGCATGGCATGTGTGAGCCGTCTCATTGTCGTGCAGCTCTGGTTGCACACCTTCGCTGCGCTCTGGCTCCTGCTGCTATATTTTTCTGTGTACCAATTGTATTTTGAATGGCAGTTCCCGGGCTCTTTGTCTTCCTGCTCCATATCCTGAAGTCGACTGTTTACACATCCACTTACCCCTCTCAGCCCATTATCACCCTTATCAAGGAAGGTAGCTGGCCTAGCACTTG